AAAAAAAAAAAAAAAAAAAAAAAAAATACACGTCGATCGAAAAAAACGAAGGCTCGTTGGAGATCCCTGATACAAAAGCCAGACACGACTACTTTAATATCAAAATGATATCAGATCCTTCTATTTCCACGATATATATAGAGAGTTCCTCGTGAAGAAAAATATGTACAGTTAAGCCATCGAGTTATTTATAGGGGCACGATTAAAAATTAATCGATTCAGAAACAATGAACTTATATACTTCGTGTTAATTCTCAAACTCGATTTCTTCTTCGTGTTTCTAATTAATACAAATCTTTTAATATCTTTGTCAAAAATGTTCCTTTTTCAATTTTGTTTGATTATTCGACGTATGATTATTCAATATTAATGATAATATTGTTATTTTAAAAGCAAAATTGATTGATCGAGTATTTAAGAAGAAGATATAAAGCAAAAAATAGCTGCCATTGAATGATGTTGAGTAATTGATCTCAGATTATAGCTTTATTTCTACAAAAAAAATACAGGATGTTTCATATGATTACAATTCTTCATTTCATCTCAAAAAGTTTTAAAAATTATATAATTACATAAATTTATCATACATGTTATATATAATTCTGTGTATAAAAATTATAGTTTATTTATATGAAACAGCCTGTATATTTCTAAGAGAATATCTTCACATTTTTTTCCCAAATTTATGAAAATCGACAATTCAACAAATGTTGCTCTTGAAAATCACATGTCTTAGATTAATTACATGTGATAAGGTACAATTTACAATTTTAATTTAAGGTACAATTTACAATTATACCTTGTACATGTTTCTTTTTTATTTTTTTTTGCTAGACACAATTTCACTGGAATACGAAATCTTTTAGGATTAAAAGAGAGGGAAAAGGGTGGGTAAATACCTGGATATTCCTGGAGAAAAAGCGGGATACCGTGAGATTCTACCATCTTCGTTTCAATTGCAGCACGTAAAACCAGTCCTCATCGTCTTCTCGTGTTAATATTTGCGACGCTCGACATCCTCAAAGGAACATCCCTTGCCGTTTCCACGTCTCACAGGGACGTTCCCTTCAAACAAACTTTGTTTACTCCCTTAGGAAATTCTTGGAAATGCTTTTCGTGAAACGGGCAATACGATTTTTAATCAAGAAACCTTACCAGAGGACACAGTGTTACATACAAGATGGTGTAGACACTGACTTCTAAATGACATGTTTTTTTTTTTTATTAAATTTCTGTTCTTTATTAAAAGAAAAATCTTCTTAAGAAAGAAGATTTAATAACTTTAATTAACCAGATAAGTTTTAAATAATTTGTTGTGATTCCAGATTAAATTAATCTTGAATCAGAAAAATTAAACTTGAAACTATTAATTATTTGCATTGATTTTGAATTATTTGCGTTGAATATATTTATAATAGTCCAAATTAAATTTTAATTTTGTTGTTATATGATGCTTAAGTTATTTCTACTGAATCAAACTAGTAAGTATTCTGATATATTTATATTTGTATTAAGTTAGATTCAAGTTTGTTAAAATTAATTGGAATTGATGATCTTTTAGTCTGATTAAGCCTGAGTTTGATCTGAGTTAAGGATTTAATTAAGTGCATATAGATTAAGTACTATTTCTACTTTTTAAGTAGAAAGACAACTTGTCTTCTTCTCATCTATTTTTAATATGCAACAAACTTCAGCAATAATTTTATATCATTCTATATAAGACTTTCATTGTCCTATTATGTTTGTTTTAAATTGTTTAAAATTTATAAGAAGAAAGCTTTCTTTCAGAAATTCTTTCAAATATTTATAAACAAAAAATATTTTACAATAATATTGAAATTATCAACGCGTATATTTTTTTATTCTAAAAAATTAGAATATTTTCATTGTGTAATCAATAATAAGAAACATAGAATCAATTTCGATATAACATATCGATTATAACATAAATTAATATTATTCTTTTACTTTTACTACTTAAAAGCCCAAATGAACCTCTAATTACAAACATTTCATGTCTCATTAATTTAAAAATCTTCAACAGTATCATTCTACTAATATCTTTAGGAACTTTCATTTTCAATTCTTCTTTTTCCATTCTTTTCTTTTCAAAATATCATTTGACAAACAACAATACAATGAAAAAAAACCAGTTCTCACGCTCGAAAGATCTCTTAAAAATGATCCATTCCAAATTCTTTCAAAACCTCGGGTTAATTTTATGGCATCATGGAGAACCATTGCGAGTGTATCGAAATACACTTACAAAAATAATTGAGCCTGGACGAAAAAGGCAAAAGATTAAATCGATGATCATCGATTACAAATCGAACAATTCACACGGCTCACTGTAGAGTCATCATCGATTAGTTTTACATCAGTTAAAACCACGTGCTCGAAATTGACGTGTACGATTCAAAAATGATATATTTACAAAACGAAAACGCTTTAGACCGAACTCGTTTTCGGCAAAGGTTTCAACTTCAATTCTCGTCGCTCGTGATACTCTTGGAAACAGGGTACAATGCACAGGTTGTCCTGACACTGGGGACAATGATACTTCGTTTTCCTACGAAGCGTCCTCCCTTGGGCGTCTATCGTGTTCCAACAATGATTACAGCGCAGTGCCGGCCCTGGACGTAATACTGGACAATGGCCGACACGTAGATCACCCGTGTTCTCTCGCGATTCCCTGCTCGTTGTCTGCAACAAGATTCAATTCAAATAAAGTTAATTGATTAATTGGTAACTATTCTTCAATATAAGTTTGTATCGTCGATGTAATTCGAAGACTGAGAACAATTCGACCAATTATTATTTTCAAGAAATGTTACAAGAAATGTAACTCCTTGGAATTTAAATTCCTTGGAATCCCTTACTTGGGGTGACGATGAACTCCGTCTAAGCTCCGTAGTTTTCACCCTCAATCCAGACGTAGAGCCTGCTGTAGTAGTGCTATCGGTAGTAGAGGTAGTGGTAGTGGTGGTGGCAACTGGATCCTCCAGAATATCCTCCTCCGTTTTAATGACAGGTGCCGGTTCCACGACGATCGAGGGACTTGTCGTTCTCCTGGGGAATTCCGGATTCGAGTGTTGCCTGTGTATCCAATAATTTCCACCGGATGATTGTTGCTGGGTGGACAAGAGCGGGTGGGAATGTTGTTTCATCAAGTAGGATGGCTGGGGTACGGTCAACAGGTTCGTCGTGGTGGTCACTGTCAACAGACTAGGCTGGTTCACCAGAATCGATTGCGGCGGCAACGGTGAAATTCTCGTTTCGTCCAAGCTTTTCGACGTTTGCGGCAAGCTGAGCGTTGGGGTCGTCACGTAAATGGGGGAAGAAACGATGTGCGGTGAAGATGCCTCGCTGTCTGGCGACAAATGATTCGATTCCTTCTTGACTCGTGGCTGGCGCAACAGACGATACCTCTTCGGACCTACCTGCTTGGCGTAAATGACTGAAACGGAAGATGAGATTGTTATTAAAATTGTTGAAAATTATTGAAAACGACCAGCGAGTGAAAATGGATTTATATATATATTTGAAATACTGTTTCTGTTTCAAACATTATGCGTTTTATTATATAAAGGGTATGTTAATTAGATCGAGTTAATTTTAATATAATTTTATTTAATGATATACGTGTGTATATATATATATATATTTTTTAATATTTACATTATTTGGTATTTAAGCGAGTTGTGGTCATGATAATTTGTCGATTGGGAAACGAATATTTTTAATTTTAATCATTTTATTTCTAAAAGGGAATTATATTCGAAATAATTATTTTATAATTTAAAAATATTGAAAGTAGATTTAAAAAATTTAATATTTTCCGTTTCAAATATATTATAAATAGTCGAAATAATGGAAAATATGGAAAAGAAATTGTAATTGAAAATATGATAAAAAGAAATTTGAAGATTAATTCAAACAATTTCGAACTATGTACAAGAATTACTAAATATCTTGGTAAAAATATAAAATTTTACCAAAAAATGTGTTCTTTGTCATATGCAAATAATAAAATTTAATTAATATGCGGGCACAGATAGTTTCTGCTGAAATAGTTAGATCTTCTTTCTTTGTAAATAAAGTTTTATTTTATATACAGAAAATTGCTACATAAATAAAAATCTAAAAAGACGGATATCTTACGTGAACAGAGTCGTGTGTCTGGTCAGAAACAACTTTAATTTGTTCTTCCTTCATGTGATTTATTAAAGGCGTTATACAATAACACTGACACATCAAACTCGACTCTCTGCATATAAAATTCTGTACCGTGTAATTCTGTACCGTGTAAACTAGTTCTTTTTCTTTATATCTTATAATTTTTTTTTCTTTTTTTTTTTACGAAATATCAATGTATGCTTAAGATAGTGTACATTACGATCAACATTTCTTTAACATTCTATATTCATCTATTATTTTGTACAGATGTTCGAAAAAAAGAAAGAAGAAAATAAAAATAGCTCTCAATCCGTATGTTTCATTAAAATAATAGATCGATTGTTCTGTCAATAACGTTGAAAAAATCTTCTCTAATAAAATTCAATATCAAGATGATGATAAAAATTTCAAATAAAAAAACTTGATCGTTATTGAATTATATTTTTACATGCCTATTAATTGGTATATTAATTAATCGAAAACAAGAACAAAGTTGCAATTGAGATATTTTCAATTAGACAATGAATTAAAATTTTTAATTGTACATAATAAATGCAACTATGTAAAAATGAGTGATAATACTTGTTCGTACGAATAAAAAAATAAATCAAGATATAATAAATCGCTGTTAAAATCGATATTGCGCTTATTTAAATGCTAAACGAGAAGATATATTCATTTTTTAATACTAGCTTCATAATGATATATGTATATATTATATACATATGTATATATAAATTTCGCGTTTCGATGAAACACTTATCGATCATTCTTGTTTTCTATTCTAACAAAAAAATAAATTTATTATATATATCAAGAAATATTGCAAAAAAAAATGTTAGTCCTTTGAAAGATATTGCAAGATTACCATTGTAAAAAGGATTAAAAAATGGACTTCCATTGAGATTAATCAAAATTTTTGTTTTGTTGCGGAGAATTTAGAAAATTCTCCAATCATTAGTAATAGATTTTTGCATCGTACACACTTATTTTTCAATACATGTATTACTTTATTATATTTTATTTTTTCTTCTTCTTTTTTATATAATTTTAATATTAATAAAAAATCAACAAATTATTCAGGAAAAGATTTATTCCCTTGAATAATGCAATTAATTAGCACTTATAGGCTACAACATCTTAAATCGATCAAAACTATATACATATATATATATATATATAAACAATATACATTAAAAATATATAAAGAAATATTAAATATATTAAAGAAAAAATAATTCGCTATTAAGTATTGTAAATTTGTAAATTCAATTGTCCGTTAATATCGAATTCGAAAGATAATTCGAATATATTACAAAAGATAATCCGATAAAATATCAGATTTAATATATCGTAAAAATAAAAAAAATTACTTGAATCGTAACTTTTTAAGTATGATGAACTATTTCCATTACTTAAACTATTTTATATATTAAAATTCACTAACTGAATCTTTTTTCATTCTCTTATCTATAAACTGATTTATAATGATGTTTCTATTTTATGAAACAGCCTATATAATGGAATTTCTCAAGTGAAAAAATTATTAAAAATTTCAAACAAACTTTTTGAAACATATATTTTCGCGAAAGTTGCCGTATTCGTTAAAAAAAAAATATGTTTTTACAAAATTTTTATCTCAGATATCACATCTATTATAAAATGTTCCTTTTTCAACAATATCAAATTAATTGTAATACATGTATTGACGATGCATTATATTTTACTTTGTCATTCATAAATTAAATAATTAATTCTATAAAATGTATTATTATTCTGCGATGTATGTACGCGTTTTGTGTGTGTGTAAATATATGTGATATTTTTGAATTACATTTCCTATTATTATTATTTTATTTACTAAAAAATTCGCGCGGTATGGTACAGACTGAATGTGAAATAGATTCATTATACGCCACATTTTTTCGCGAATAAACGTATGCGCGTTATTCCACCAACTTTAGATCATATCGATATTTATCCAAAGTTAATATTTAGAACAATAAAAACATTAAATTAAAAGATCTTCAATAATACGTCTATAAATATCTGAAATTACAAACAACCAAATATAATAATGCCTTGATAACTGTCGCATAATACATAATGACTTTACGACTGTTAATGAGACTCTATTATATTTATATGTGTTGAGTGTATGGCCGTTCACACTCTATCACATCGTATATAATTCGTAGATTTCAAATCATATTATTATAAACTAAAGGAACCTGTCTAAAAATTTATTCTACTTGCTGTCAGTGTTGAACAATACCATTAATAAAAATTTGTTGTCATCCACTTTGAACTCGTTCACTCATAATTTAAATTTTAATTAATTCTAATAAATACTTAATAAAAAATTTGTTAAAACAATATTACTCTATTCTTTTAAAACAATGTCGATTTTGCTTTCGTTTTTTTCTTTAAAGATAAAAAGAAAAAAAATTGTTGTTTATACTTTTATAATGATCATTAAGAATAAAAAGTCAACGAGCTCCAGTAATACAGTAATACAATTTCATTTTTCGTTATATATGTGTACTCTAATGTAAAAAATCTGTAGAGTATAAAGTATTATGTACTAATTTTTCCATTTCATCGAAATCTTTATGTTAATCTATAACTTTTTATAGTTACATACAAATTAGGCAAAGAAGATACCTAAAATCGTATGTTTTTTTTTTTTTTCGTTTTATCATTTACCATTGGAATTTATGTTCACTTTCGATAAATATTGCCGATGTAATCTTTATTTTATGAAAGATCTAGTTTTCAAGCTCGTCTATACAAGTCATTATTGATAGCATTATATCATGACCAATAGCTCACATCGCATTGTAATTAACACCGTGTAAATTGATTGGCATTGTAGTGCTTGGCAATGCATAATCCGTATGTCTGCTATCGATATAACCGCTTAACATCGTATGAGGACTATGAGTGGTCAGCATGGTATGCGTGCTATGGGTATTGTGTGTACTGTGTGGAGTAGTGGGGGGGCCCATTGGCGTAGGACTCTGCGAATTAACCGGCTGCGCTGGCTGAGCTGGTGGCGGTGAGGAATTTACTTCTTGCTTAACTCTCGATTTCAAACTGGGTCGATTATTCGGATAACCGCGCTTTTTGTATTCCAACCAAAGTGTTCGATTATTTACACCGAACATCCTAGCCGCTTTACAGAAACCTATGCCACCGTACCGTACGGCATCTAAAGCCCTGATAAAGTTTTCATCTGCTTGTGGATTTGTCGATCGTTTTCTCTTTATTGCGGTTTGTGGACTGGCGCATGGGCTCTGGCAGTTACTCGGGCACTGTGTCGACGGTGAAGGGCCGCTCGACGATGCGTGCTGCAATGTCCCGTGCGAGGAATTCGGATAATTCGTCAGGGCGCAACTGGAACCAGTTGTGCTGGTACCAGAATACTGATCGCTGATGGTCGAAGAAGCTGTTATTTCGGGCGTGGTAAAAGCTGATGATGCTTGGATCGACAGATTCGTTTGACACGAAGACAGAGCGAAACGTGGATATGTATGCTCCATAATAGTCCATTGCAATCCTGTGGAACAGACCGGTTCATACTTTGGTCAGAGCACAGGAATTATTTTGTTATTGGCTGTATATATGTTTTCATATTAACGCAGTGATAAAAATATACTAATTACATGTATATTATATATATTTATGAAATGTGTTTTTGACTAAAAAAATGATACATTCGTATGATATAATAAAATTATGATAATAAAAATTTTAATATATATTTATATAAATATATTGGAACCTAATAGCGGTAATGTATTTGTATTATGATATAATAAACAAAAAGAACAATTCGGCAATAATTGGCTTAATCATAATAATTAAACTATAAAATCGAAAAAGATGTCTAATGAAATAAATTGCTTTATGCTACTATGTGTGTAGAAAAAATGAAGATGCTAAGCTGTAAGCAGAAAAGAATTAAAAAAATACTTATAAAAATATCTATATGAAATTAATGATATATATATGGGAATATTAAGAACAGAATATTGTGGCATGGCACAGATACATTTTAAAGCACATTTGTCATTCATTCTTTGATATAGAAAAATGTGTACAAATTTATTATGTAAATTAAAGGACAGAGTAAGGCACACATACATACTCAACAATGTTTAAGGCCCGATTTTACTGTCCTCTAAAAGAACATTATACATTGTGTGCTATGTATCTGTGTACCATGGTGAATTTCATGAATGAAACTAACCTTATAGAAATTTGCACTACTAATTAATAACATTTTTTTTCCTCTCAATTTTCGCTCTATTTTCATGTCAAACGTCTGTTGATTTGTGCAGTACATTTAAACGCATCTGTGCCAGCATATAATGTAAGTATCATTTATTCACATGCAATTTTAATACTCATTACGTTCGCTATAAATTGTGTTTTACTACTAAACAATTAAAGTATATGTGTGAAAAATAGATATATCATGCATATTTAAAATGAAATTATTGCCGCTTGTGCACAAATAAAAAACAGAATTAACAAATATGTTTAATAAAAATCGAAACAGTATTCAAAATATAATTAATATCCTTTTATACAATCTATAGATTTTAATTATTAACCATAACCTTAATTTTAACATATATTTTTAATTAGATTAAATTTCGTTGGGAATAAATAAAATTTCTTTATTTATTTTTGTATCTTTTAATAACATCTTACTGAATGAATAGAATTCAAAAATATAAATTTTAAACAATCAATGTATCAGAATTTATCAATGTACTTAAGAATCTATATTATATATATAGTTTAAGACTATATTAGATTCGTTTATAATCCGTTCGTATTTTGAAAAACATAAATTTTGAAATATTGATACATATTTGATACATATAATCTTAAACATAAAATTTATATTTTTGAATCTTACTTTTTAAATATTAAAAGACACAGAAATGAATAAAAAAAGCATTTAATTTTTAAATGAAATTTAGTTTTCAATTAGAATTAATTATGAATAATACATATAAATGTTATATAAAAATGCTGTATATAAAAATATTATTTAAAATTTAATATCAATTTCAATATCTTTTAGAATTACCGCTTATAATATATAAAAAAAATATAGATTTTATATAAAAAAAATATAGATTTTAAATATTTTTTATTAAATATATTTAAGAATATAATTTTTCTTTTTATATTATATATATTTTATATTCATACATATAATTGTATCAAATATACAAAAATAATTTCAAACTAATTGCATACATTATAAAAACTTACCTTGATGTGCAGGAGGTTGTTGTGAAGAAACTGAACTTTGGGCTACATTTCCTCCTGATTGTTGATTTACATCTTGTATCGAGCCATCACTTTGTGCTGGTGTTGTTGTTGAACTATTCTCCATATTACTCATCTAAAATTAATTAAATTATGATTTTATATCTTAATATTATATATAAATAATATAATAACATTATATACATAAAAAATTATAAAATTTATTTATTATATACAATTATATTTTTTACATACATAAATATTCGACAAATAATATTTATGTTTATATATATAAATATAAAATATACTTACAATTGATATTTGATCCTCATCAATACTTCCTTGAGATTCAGTATTCGTATTAACAGGTCTTCTTACATTTTCATTATTTTCTTGTGAAACTATTAATGGTTCTGGTTTTACAATATTGGTAGCAACTAAAGTGATTTCATTCATTTCTTCTGGCTTATCACCAGATCCAGATGTTGATCCTGTTGATGATTTTCTTAATCTCTTTCTACGAAAAGATGGTGACAATGGAGAAGGACTGGGTGAACAAGATTCTCCACGATCTCCTCCTCCAGGTTCACTACTACCACTTGGCCATTTTGTTAAAGAAGCACTGTGCATTTCTGCAAGTCCTTTTATTTTCAAGCTCTCTGCAGTCTAGATAAAAAAATTATATTGCTATTTTTAACTTTTTAAGAAATGTAATAATTAATAAAATTAATATTTTGATATATTGCACCTTTATAATTGATGGTAATTGATCTTGTGATATATTTACTTCACCATAGTACATAAAATCAACCATGATTTTCAAATCTGAGAATTTTACATCCTTTAATATCACAATGGGATGTTGACATGGATTCACAGTAAACAATGACTGGAAATATGTACTACATGCAGATAGAACAACTTTGTGTGCTTGAAGATGCCTGCCTTCAGCAGCTAATGTCACATCCACTAAAGTCTCATTATTTAACAAATTTGAAAACACCGAAATGAAATTTGGTTGATGATTGTTCCATCGTAAACAGAATTGCTGCATCGTCATTGTAACAAATTGTTAAATTCTTTTCAAGCACTATAACCACACCTGTAAAATCATTAGTCACTTATTTGCCTATTAATAATATCTTTAATATAAATAAAATATCATGGAACATTATAAAATACATTTCACAACATTTTCAAATAAAATATAAATCATTTTGAATAAATTTCACATATATATGTACTGACACGAAGAAAGTGAAAACAGAAAACGGACAGTTTACGATAAATAAAATTATTAGTATTCTGAAAATTCGTGGCAATAATTGTAAATATTAAGTCATCATCGAAACATATAATTTCTTTCGTACATCACAAAACTTTTGAAGGATTTACATTAAAAACACAATTTGATTGCTATCGTCGTTGGAACATGATTAAACTCAAATAAAATACTTAATGACGATAAAAACTTGGAAAATTAAATTAATATCACAATCAAGCAAGTTGTCATACTACGTATAAAAAAAAAAACAAAAGAAGAACTGTCCAACAATACGGTTACAATCGCTTCACACAATAAATATAGATTTGCATGGTGAACATAACGAAAAAGGCAGGTAAAGCAGAATTGCTCACTTCGTTCGAAGAAATATTCCTTGAAAATAATACCACTATTAACAAAACATCCACTGGATAACACGACGTATTTCGATGTGTTGTTTAAGTATTTATTAGGAAAAACAGATTTCATTCGGTGCTGCCATGGATTCGATGAAATTTTCCACAACAGACTGAGCGATGACGCTTGTGTAATTCACAAATGACGTCATAGGCGAAAAATTAAGATTCCACGTATGGCGCGCAGCAAACTCAATGAAAATCGTTTCAATGGATATATTGATATTGCAATAAATTTTTCATATAATTGACAAATATGAGATCTTATCAACGTGCGTCCTTAGAAAATCTAACTTGATCAATATAACGGCCGACTAAGAGTGACATCTATCGAGGATCTGTCAAGCACAACATTTTTATATCTTTCGAAATATTTTTCTTTTCGTTCGAGAATCTTATATTTTTACAAGAATCTTAACAAGAAATATATACAAGATATGTAAAAAGAACTAAAATTAGTGCTAGGGTCGTAGAACGTAAAATTAAAACAATTCATGATTTATTGAAATTATTAGTATTTTACTCCATCATTATGCAAACACATTTGATAATACATAATGGAAATGTTTTATTTTTCTATATAAGTGACAAAAAAATGGTGCTACAATTAGTATAAATTAAATAAATAAGTAAAAATCGTTTATTTCGTGTTAAACAAAAAAAAATTCTGCTAACTAATAGTCACCAACATTTTGTACGTATATCTATAAGTATACAGATTAATTCAAAATTTACAGATGTTCATTGAAGCAACAATTTGTGAAGTGAAGTGAAGTGTATTAATTATCACCATTTAAAACACATATTTTCTCTTTCTCTATCTTTCTTTCTTTCGCTCGTCCTTCAGAGAAATTCGTGTGCTTTTTTTTACAAATCGTTGTAATTTAAATTAAAATAAAAAGAAAAAAAAAACTTGAGATTCAAATATATAATTATACTATACAGTATACGTATATACATATACTGTGAGGTATACTCATTGATGATAAATATATATTGGTAAAAAGAAAGGTGCATTTACATGGATATTGCTTTTAATAGTTGTTTAAAGAACTTAAAATTAGAATTTTATCTGCATTGTCAAATCGATTCGCGATATAAGAACAAGAATTTCCTTTTAACTTGCGAATGGACCCTTAATTTGGGGTTGTACTCTTATTGCTATTTAATAATATTAATTTATATTGAAATTCTCATATAACAATTTGATATTATAAATTTTGATGTAATAGTGTTATATTTATAAAATCTTTTTCTTCTATGAACTTGACCACGTTTAATCTCAGAATTATATTTGATTTTGTCATTTCATTTTATATTAATTGATTAGCAAAAGAAAATTTATTTCTATGTTATATTAGTATGATATGCATCTTTTGATCATTTTAAAAATTTTTTTTAATAAAAGATAGCTTAATAATATGCAAATTAAATACAAATATATAAATAAATAAAAAGTGGCGATTATTTTTTATTTTCGCCATCGAGCACTTTCTTTTTAATGGTGGACAAACACTCATTTTCTACAAATATATTTCCCATCTTGTTCTTACTATCCCGGCGTCTAAGGCACGGATCTGCCAGAAGATTTTATTGATAAATCTTCTGGTAGTCCCAGGACGAATCTTTCTTTTTCTTTCTTTTTCTTCTCTTTCCTCCATTAATTTTTCTTTACAGCACCACAAGAATATAACTTATTGTGCGTTAATTATGATGCGTTTTTTTTCAAATCGGATACATTGTTAAGTATTCTATTAAAATATTATTCAAGTACATTACAAACCATAATTAAAAAAAAAAAAATAATGAAAATATAAAATAAAAGTAAGTACTATATAAAATACAAACAATAACTCACACTGGTATCATAATATCATTTTTATAATATCAATATAACAGAAATTATTATGATAAAAAAATATAATATTGTAAAAAAATGTCCGACTCGATATTGGTAAAACTTCTTTTGCAATCCAGTATAATACTGTAAAAATACTGTGCAAAAAAATTGAATGCTTATGTCAAAAAAAATTATATCTGCATGAAATTGAAATATGTGATAAGTGCATAAAATATCAAATATGACAAAAATTTTTTTGAATTGAATAAAAAGAACATTTATGCATCTGCCTATTTTTATTTCCGAGATTTTTATATTTCTTGAGATGAAAAAAATTCTGTTGCGATGATTAATTTTTAATCTTGTTTTTATTAAAGATTATTGAAGTAGAAAAAGAAATAATATAACTTGCGATAAAGTTTTCTTATCCAAAAAATGGACTTAAAAATAAAAACGATCACAGATGCATAAATTTATTTCGTATATCCGAAATATTTCAATTTACTAGGCTTTCGCTGCTAGGCCGTGGTTTAATGACCAGATTCTGTAAGGCTCTTATTTCGTTTTCTGTGAGATTTGGAGGTCCGAATAGAAACTCTCTACGAGAACTGGGATTAGATAGAAGATTTTGCATGTTCTCATTAGTTAGCATTAAATAATGCAGAGAAGTTTGTGTTAAATTTACTTTCCTAGCTAATGTCCCGGTAATGTGAACATCATCTATCCAGAAGTATGGCTCTTTTTGCGCTTCACGATACAAAAGAAATACGCTATCAGGAGAGTACAATATAGCCCATCCTGCGCAATATGCAGGATAATGTCTACCAGGATATTCTTGAGGGGAGACTCTCCACTTAGATCGCCAAGATCTCTTCACGGTACCTGTGGGATGAAGATCGCAAAGGATCAATCGCCTGGCTCCCCATGGTGATAGATCACGCGTCAAGAAATCCAACATGGCAGGTATATGAACAAAAACATCATCATCTAATTTTAATATATATTTGGCACCTGAAAAAGTAGATAGATCAAATATTGTTAAAAAACTTGCATAAAGAGAATTAAGGATTTTTTATAAAAATTTTTCTTTAATGCTATTAAAAAAGATTTATATATTATGATTTAAAATATGTTAACTAATATTAATTTTTAATAATTAAAATTAAAAGAAAAAAAATAGAAAAAATAAAATAAAAATAGAAATTTTAGATGTATGAATTTTTATTAGAAAGACTATTTAGTAGAAAAAAATTTTTTTGAACAATTAATAAAAGATTTATCTATAAAATTAATCATTTAATGTTTTTTAAATAAAATTTGTTATTAATTTAAAAAGATTAATGTTACTGTATATATTAATATAATAATAAAAGTAAATAATAAAAGTACTATTATATAATAATAAAAGTAAAAATTTGTCAATCTATTTCAAATATTTCGCGTACAAAAAAAATATGCTTACTTGGACAATGATACGTAGCCCATTTCAATGCCATCACATGCTTATAAGTCATGTTTCTGTAGGCATCGAGAAAGTTGCCTTGTATCAAATCTTTGTATTTTCTATTTTCCTCCTCCAACATCGTTTGGTATTCATCAGATGAGCCAACGAAGAAGAGGAGCGCCACATTTGACGATTGCTGGCCCCAGGTTTCCCTGACTACATTTCTCTTCACGAAATTCTCTGGAGCCGAATGAACCAACATCAATAATAATAGATGTGTCCCGTTACATGGATCATTGTTGATTGTGAACCGAAAGTCTTTTATATCAATAAGAGTTGATTTGTCACCGAACGGAAGTTCGTGTAATAAGTATGGCTGCGGAGAGGGTGTCACGTTTCCGGGTAAGATTAATAGATATCCTGGTGCCGATACGCCACTGCTGTATGGCGTCGGTGAACCGGAATTGTCGATGTGAAGCCAGAAGGAGAAGCATCCAGTCAGTGCCAAAGCGACCACAAAAATCAGAGTGCAAGGCGACGTACCGGAGGCATGGAGTCGCCGCTTATCCAGCATACTAAAAAGTCCCTTACATCATACAAGTCTGAGTCCGGCTAAAAAAAGTAAACATAAAAGATTAATCAATTATATTTTATTTTAAACATTTATTTTTATATATGAATTAATATGGATTAATAATTTATTTTATATTTTTTATACAGACAATAATAAAAGAATCCGTTGTCGATACTGAACTGTTTAAATTATTTAACTTGTTTCGAGAGCAACAGTCATTTCGTGTCATTAGAAAACATGTGTGACACATCTGCTGCTATAAATATTATCTTTTATTTTGCTTACATATATTTTTAATAGATAATAATTTGTGAAATTATTGTGTTGATAGTGATAATATAAAATAATACAATTGATAAATTTCTAATTAATATATTTATAATTAATATATTATAATAAATATAATAAATTATAATAAAATTATAATAAATTAAAAATCGAGATTTAAATATTAATCTAACAATTTTTCAATATCATAATATGTTAACTTTCGAATTAGTTTGTATTCAACTCCATAAAAGTATTATAAAGACAGTCAATTATCAATATTTCAACTATACCTTGAACTAATGTTAGATTTACATTATTGGTAATATTCACTAATAAATAGTGAAACAATTTATGAGTTATTAGACTTCAAGGAGATGAATAATAAATCGAACTGATAGTGTATGTCAAGCGAAAAATTTAAATATATATATATACAATTTATCTTATTATTCTCATATTAATAGGCAACCTTTGATCTTGAATAAAAAATAATTATGATAATATTCGTTGCATTAATAATATATTAAATCGTACCAAAAATATGATATATGATCATATGAATTATATTACATTTGCATCTATGTTATAATTGTAATAAAATCCTTAAACAATTTAGAAACACAAATATTTCATTTATAAATTTAATTTCGTTTAAAATATATTTCTTCTAATATATTTTGAATTTAAAATAATTTACAAAAAGATATATTAATTAGAGTTAATCCCTTTAAATAATTTTTAATGATAAATCTAAAAGTTTGAAAATCAATGTTTAAAATATAATAATTTCCTAGAAGATATAGAATTTGTTTAAACAGATTAATTTCAAAACAAGCTCGAAAAGAATTTTTTCATATTTTTATTAGTGAAAATTTCCATTTAGATTATTTACATCCCTTATCATTGATTTATTTTATAAGTCGCATCTTTGAACATTTCATAAATAATGCACAAATCATTATTATTAATCTAACGATTAAAAAATAATTTAATAATTATAATTAATATATTATTAATATAATTAATAAATATAATTTAAATAATTAAATTAAAAAATAAAAAATAATATAATTTTTATATAAAAATTAATTTTATTAAAAATTAATTTTTGGTTTTATTTTTTAAGCTTTTCAATATTTATTGTCAATTTTCAAAATTGTTTTTTCGTTTCTATGGATACGCTCCTTATCGGATTGTAAATGCAGTAATAATCAAAACGATCATTTATCAAAAAATTCTTATCAAATACATATATCGGTTAGAAGATCGACGTGGCAGTATTCAACAGATCTCAAAGGCTAAAACATCATTTTACTAAGATTCTTTATTTTTTGTACCAAATTAGTGCATTTATTGGAAAAAGTGTTATTTAAAATAATTGTTTGATTTGTATCACACGGATGTCATCGAACAATGAACATAATATTTTTGAACAGCATATATATTTTTGGATTTCTTGGGAAGTATCTGGAAAGAAATACTTTATTTTATAGTATAAAAAGATTAACAATATTTTGTATTTTATTTTATACTTTATATTTTGTATATTACTTTACGTAATTGATATATAAAGATTTATTCAAGTTTTAAAAAAAAATTTAAAATTATTAAAATTAATTTTCTATAAATATATTTTCTTTACTATATTATAAATGCTATTAAAAAATTTGTTAAGTATGATAATGTAATTTATATATTGCATGTAAAACGTTTATGTAAAAAGATATTTCATTAATTAAAATTAATTTAATTAATTCATAATATAAATGATTAATATTGAATAAATGATAACCTTTTAGTTAAGATTCTGATTACATTCAAATAGAATAAATTCACTATTTTGATTATAACAAATATAAAAATGATTAAAGTTAAATATACATTAATTTAAAAAATTTTAACTAAACAAGAAAGAAAAATAATATTTATAATAGATATATAAATAAAATAGATATACATAAGATATATATATTCCAATGCAATTTTTAGTTTATTATAAAATAAATTTAATGAAAATATTTTGTAAAAAAAAATATTTTATTAAGTAGATCTCGTAATAGAAAGTATCTTGAAAAATTAACATTCTAGAACTTTCACTTTTGATATTCCCAAAACATTTGAAACTCGGATATACACACGCCTTGTTTCTTAAACATGTACTTGTTTTTATTTCTTTGAAACAAAATTAATTGACCGCTTTACATGCATTATTAAGTCAAAAAAATTTATTACATATTCTCAAATTTCAACAGTTAGATAAATAATTAATGAAATGATATACATATTTCATATATTAATTTTACAAATTTAAATATTTAAAATTTTTTAATTTTTTTAAATTAATGTATTAAAATTCTTATTTATAATACAAATAATAATTATACATAATTATTTTTTTTAGAATATCAATTTGATATCAACATGAAACAAGAAAAATTTGTCATCATCTCTCAATTGTATCTCAAGATTTTTATTTAATTATTAAAATGAAAACAAAAACATGCAAGGAAATCGCAAAAATATTGAATAAGAAAATACTGCAATTTGAGGAACAAATAATATATATAGATAACGAAAAAAAGAAAAAAATTATACTTACAACTTACGTGTGGCAAAGAGTTATGAGGACTTCTAAGCATCTGTTTCGACGATGAAGATCTTGTTTTACACATTTGGCACAGTTAACATTTATGCCTCGATGTTGTTGAAGCGAAGTATAATCACAGGAAATTTGAGGTTATGTCAGACAAATGGATTGTTAAGTACAGGTCACATTTAGGCTGGTATATCACGGGCCAAGAAACGTAAATGCGTGTTTTCGAGAAAAGTCATGCGAACGTCAACATAACATAGATATGTCGTGTTGTTCGGCAGCTCTGTTCCTTTTTTTCCTAACACCCTTCATTTTTCCCTTTCTCTCTATTTGTTTAATCGTACACTTTTCTACACAACCGATGCAAATCGAATCATGTGTAGAAAAATGCGTTAAGAAGTAAAACGAAATGGCAAACTGTAACTGAAGGGCGAAGTCCGTTTGACCCATGAATAAAGGGTTAATATGGTGTTCTTACCCTACGATTACCATCTATTGGATGACACCCTCTTCTGTCGGCGTTGCACATTGCATCTAAGGCGGAAAATTCAAAACTAAAATTTTACTTATTTTGATTTTATGAATATCATTTTTATATATTTAAATTATACTGCTAAATTTTTTTATCTATTGTTTGTCAACAAAAAGAAAATTTTAATTAAAATAAAATATAAATATTAAATAAAGTATAATTAAAATTGTAATTGTATAAAATTTTAAAATCTTTCTATATCTGTTGTATATCTTTTTGAAAATCTATAAATAAATATTATGAAATATATTATATTTTTTGTTTTAGTTTTAATATTTTTTAAAATAATATTAAAAAATAATATTAATATTAATATTAAAGAAACTATTTATAGAATAAATTGTATTATAATATTTTTTCAATTCTTTTTAATTTAAATTTTTAAATACAAAATTTTTCTTTAATTTTTTATAAATATGATAAATTATATTTTTAAAAATATAAAAAATTTATATATAAAAATGCTAAAGTTTATATTTAATATTTTTATATATTTAAAATACTATTTCAGATTGAATTAAATTTTTAAAAAATTCTATTTAAAATGTTATATAATATAAATTTGAATTTTTTATGATATTTAAATTCATGAATAGAATTGAGAAAAATATCTTAAAATGATGAATAAAAAAAGCACAAAGTATATATTTTTAAACTTTATTTAGTAAATTGATAGAGACAGAAAAATGATAATGGAGGAATGAAAATGCGCGCTTTATAACATGGTTCAACAAAGGATTATTTTGAATATTACCGCGAAATAAATTTAGTTATGAATAATAACTGTAGATGGCGCTGAATGTTCGCGGCATGAATTGAATGGACGCGAGAAACTCAAGCGTCTGCAGCGCTATAGCCACCTCTCCCTGGGGCGCATATTGCGCATGCGTTGCACGTTTATTATCTTCTTTCTGTTCAAGTGCCATTTCATTGCATGCAGTGCAGTCTATAAAACAGAATGCGTTCTCCGTGGATCTCGAGTTTCCTATCACTTATCGTCATTCGTAGCGTATAAACATAACAGCACGCGGTCATTAACTTACAAATTGTTTACGTGTCATTCGACACATGCGAATCTAGTAATATCGTGCACGAAATGCCAGTTTTCGAGTTATAAAAAACACGATCAGGCCATTGTTAGCGTCATAGACAGGTTTCGGGTCGAAATTTTCGAACGATCGCGCAAGCAAAATGTCATGCAGCTACGCGGACGGTCTCTCGCAGTACGAAAACAAAGGAGTGTTGGGTCTGGAAGAGGTAAAAAGCATTATTCCTGACCGTTCATTTGGCGGGAGTCGGCCATCCGCGACAATTTTTAATCGTTCGCCGCCTGATGTGTGAAATTTTTTTTTTTTACAGAGATACGACAGTGTCGAGGCATTACGATTGAAATGTGGCCTTCTAGCCGATTGGATACAGGCCGCACGGCATGTCGTCGTTCACACCGGTGCCGGCATCAGTACTGCGGCGGGCATTCCGGATTTTCGGTGATTATCATTTGTAATTTTTCGCTCAAATCCCCACCCTACTTCTACCTACTTTCATCCCCTCCCTGACCACCCCGATCGTCCTGCAATTGCGATCTGTTAGGTATGTGTTCGAAAGCGCCACTGACCAATTCTTTTAAATTAATCGAGCGGGAATAACGGAGCCGCGAAGAAACGATTAAAATTCCTTTTGATAGACGCGTCCACCATTGTTGCGCGCGACAATGGTGACCGTGATCTATTCCAAAATGCTGATTAATGTACAAAATTGAATAGGAATAATAAGATTTGTGAAAATTTTATTAAATAAATATACAGATAAGATAAAAATGGGTAATTTAGAAAAAATATATGTATTTTTTTTCATATAAAAATATAAATTAAAATATTTTAAATAAATAATTTAATTAAATTTAATTATTATTTAATAAATACATAATTATATTTTTTTCATATTTATATGTATGTCACTATTATCTAAATTTTTTTAATTATTTATGTATATGATTTCTTAGAGGTACAAATGGAGTATGGACATTAGAACAGAAAGGTTTGAAACCTACCATGAATATTTCCTTTGATGAAGCCATTCCTACAAAAACACATATGGCATTGAAAAAATTAGTAGATGCTAGTGAGTACGATTAAAATATTAAAATACAATTATATATAAAAGATTAATATAAAATTTTATGAATATTATTTTTTCTTTAGAAAAAGTTAAGTTTATTATAAGTCAGAACATTGATGGTTTGCATCTTCGATCTGGTGTACAAAGACAGTATCTTGCAGAATTACATGGAAATATGTTTACTGAACAATGTGATAAATGTGGAAGGTTGGTATTTTTTATTAAAAATAAAATTTTACAATGATAAAATTATGAATTAATATCAAATTTTATAATATTTATTTAGACAATTTATTCGGAACTTCGCGACCAAGAGCGTAGGGAAAAAATCCCTTGATACTGTGTGTAGATCTGAACAAATTGGTGGTCGTCCATGCCGTGGACGTATGCATGACACGATTCTCGATTGGGAACACAACTTGCCTGACAGTGATCTGACATTATCTGACTTACATTCTAGGTAAATTGATGAAAAAACGCGATAAATTTTATTTTTTTTATACCGCAGCATATAACAAATTTAAAGCACGAGGCACGGTGCAAGATTCTTAAAGCAGATGATAAAAATATTTTATAAAGTAAATGCACATTATAATACATTTTAATGTTAAAAATTTGGTATTTTTTGCGAACAGATGAAAGGAAGAGTGCCTAACTGTTGTTGAGAATTTAAGAATTACATATTAATAAGATTTGGAACGATTCGTTGATCGAAAATCCTATGTTGATATCTCAGGTTTTAGTTGACAATTATTTACGAAAGTTACTTTGTTCGATAATTTTATTATTATAAGAAATATTGAATAAAAAATATATATTTACAGTGTTGCGGATTTAAGTATATGTCTTGGAACAACACTTCAGATTATCCCGAGCGGTAATTTACCTCTATATACCAAAAAATACGGAGGTCGACTTGTTATATGTAATCTACAACCTACAAAACATGTAAGAGAATTTTTTATTTGAAAAAAATTTAATTATATATTTATATATTATTATATATAAATTTAATTATAAATTTTTAATAAGAGATATATTAATAATTTAAGGATATATTTTTATAAATTATTATTTTATGGTTAGTATATTTATTTATCTGTTAAATAACATAATTTAAAAATAAAGGATATTATTTTAGGATAAAAAGGCAGATTTAATTATTAATGGCAATGTTGATGAGATAATGATCAGTGTTATGAAAAAATTAGGGCTAGAAATTCCCGAATATGAAAGTACAATGGATCCCACACGTAATTCTGATACAACATCCAAGGAAATGGATTGGACGATACCAACAAGTAGAATAAAAGAAATGAATGTTTTATATAAAAAAGTGTGTAAACCAATGAGAAGAAAACGAAAGACATTCATGTATGAAAGGGAGAGAACTGATACAAAGCGAGAAACAAAGACAAAGAAACAGGCGTTTATGATAAAACAAGATATAAAAACAGAAGATACAATGAACACAGCAAATCAAATTTGCAACAATGCTGTAGTTTCGGAAGATATAAGCAGTAACACGGTGAAAATTGAGGATGAGATAAAACATGTGGAACCATTTGAATTTACGACGAACAATATGACTCAACCAGATCCTGGTTTAGAAGTGAACAACATACTGTAGCATGATTTCAGCAGGTGGTGATTCAGCGACATAATACTCGTATTAATATTTTCTTTGTTAAATTTATTTACGAGTGCATATAGAATGGATGTTATCTGTATGTGAAGAATGTCTAAAAAAAGTGCTATTGATTTGTTTATATGAAAACGATAAAAAAAAAAGTAACAAAAAATAAGAATATAAGTTCATCAACCGATAAATCGCTTTAATTGTCAAGTCAAAAAGCGCTGCAATACATGTACATATGTGTAGTAGTACTTTCGTAATCGCTTCCATGTTCTGTCCGCTTTTTCATTATTCGTAGTTCTTAATCAGAGAAAGTCAGAGTTTCCAGTGATCTAATCATATTCTACTAACATACAAATATATGCATGCATAACCATGTTTTTCTCCATTATGATACATTAAATGTTAAGTATTTACGATGATTTATTTAGGATCATTTGTAAGATGTTGAACAGAGATTTTACAGAGAGTATCGTGTCGATCATGAAATGATCTTTCTTCAGATAGATCTTGAAATGATTATAAAGAGCAAAGCTAAAATTACGTTCAAGTGCGTTTAATTGATCTCTATATAGATATAATACTGTTCGTGTTTTCCAGAGAAAAAAATTAAACATGACCAAAAATCTTCCATACGGCTGTTTGTAATTTCACGAAGCGATTAACGGAAGATCCGCAGATGTTTTAATTGCATCGGAATAGTAAATACTCGTTGCTACTTTGAACGTTTAAGATTGAAATCTTTTAATAGAAAGCTCCATATGAGCGTTGGTGTTGTTTGATCGATCTAATAGTTAAGTGTCTCTTGTTAAACGCACATATGTTTGTATAATCGTGATAGAGTGACTAAAAGCGTTTTGTAGGTAGACATTAAAACGGATAACGGAACCGCGAAAATTACTCCCTCGACAATATGTCTCCTGAGTGAGTTAAGAAGCGGAAGTGTAAACATTTGAAAGAGAAAAAAAAAAAAAAAAAAAATATGGAAAAATGCAAGCGAGTCTTTCTTATATTGGCATTCGACGCTATTTTGTCGATAGAGTTTTATAGTAGAATGCAGATTAGTGAAATGTGTAATATTTATATGTACATAGTAATATATGCTTGATTGCTCCTAATAATTTATTACTTTAATTGATATTATTTACTGGACGTTACTATTAGTGAAATATTATAATATTCGACAGAAAATAAACTTGTGGAAAGGGCTGCTTCATGTGTGCTTATTATTTCCTACTCTATTTTTAAAAATAATTTATGAGTTATTATATAATGAAAAACATCATTATTTTTCTATTTTAATATAGTATATTCTTATTCATAATACAACATAATCATGTACACATACGCTACAATAATTATTATATTAACAATTCAAAAAAAAGTTCACTTTAAAGATGTAGTTCACTTTAAAGATATCACTTTAAAGATTTATTTTATTTTTTTAATAAATAAATCTTTTTGTTTACTTATTATATATATATATATATATCTTTTTTTTTACGTAAAATTCATAATTGCGATACATATCGACGAGAAAATATATTAAATCTGAAACAGCGTTTCCTATTTATTTCTCTTCAACTTATATTTATATTATACTTTGATGATTAAATGATTCATTTAATATTTTTATTAATCTTTTTTTTATTCGTTATATACTTTTCAAAGAAATTAAATTCTACATTGAATTATTTGAAACTAATAATGCTTAATATTCAAAACAATGCTCAATATTAAAAAAACAAAAAATAATCTTTTTTTATAAAATTGATGATTTTCCATCAGTAATTTTATGAAATAAAATTTATTATTTAAAAAATAATTCTTTTCGGATTCATAATTTTTTTAAATCTAATTATTTTTTTATGGAAACGCCAATTCAGAACGAAATTATTAGGGTGTCTTCCATTAATCTAATATTATCTTAATAAAAAAAACATTTTTTACTTTACTCTGATAAATATATCGTCGTCATTGAAATTGAACAAGAAAAATATACAAATTTTCACATATTTTTATCAATAACTTAAGTCTCCAGTTATCAATTATATACTGTATTTACACACATATGGTTTACATACAAACTGTATGTTTATATTTTTATATTATTTTATTTTTAATATTTATATTTAATATTTTTTTGACTAATTTCTGTTCTAAATAAAAGTTTACATTTTACTAAGAAAATTAATTCTTAACCTTAAAATTACATAAGGAAATTACGCTGCTTTAGGTGAAAAATGGATTCATTATCGGAGTTCGATACATCACAAATTCTTACATATCGATAATTAAAAGTTTTTTGTATACACATATAATTTATTTGAACTAACTTGCACAATACTTATATAACTTATAATCAAAAAAAAATCTAGATATTATTGAAGGAACTTAAAACAAAACGGAAAACACCCCAAATTTTTTAAACTCTTCTTTTGGCGAGCACACGTCGATTTGTACGCAGCCGTTTTTGCTAAAAAAAAATAAATATAATGAGTTTTAAAAAGAGAGACTCAGAAATAAGAAAGATTTAGAAATAGAAAGAAAAAAGAAGGAAAGATTACAAAGAAGGTTAGAGAAGAAAGTATATACCTGTGTATATACATGAAATGTGTATTTGTGATGTAAAAGGAGATTATATAGTGAACGACCAAAAGTGAGAACAAAAAACTATAGGAAAGAATGTGGGAAGAATGTAGAAAAGAAAGGGATAAAAGTGCGGCGATTATTGCATTTTATCGATTGATTCGACTCATATTTCTGGCATCCATCCAAGGATCCGATTGCCGCGTTATGATAAATTGAATCGAAACCGACTATTTGGTATAGTTGCAATTTTTTTATTAGATATCATTTTTAAAGAGTTTAACGTAGGTTATGTATATACGCGAAACATAAACCTGCTAAAAACTTTAATTAAGCTATCTATATACAGTAATCTTTTGCCCGAAGAAATAGAAATCGATTATTATATATATTTATATAATAATGATCAATTTTTTTTCCTATATTATTTTATTATCGATCATGTTTTTCGATTTGCATGACATCTAACAGAAATGTATTTAGGATTTTATCGATCGACCCTCATCATCTTCGGGTGAATGATAAATCGATACAAGAAAATCGAAATAAATCGAACATTCTTTATCAATTTTTTCAATTGTTTCTAGATATTTCTTCTTCAAAAATTACATTGGCAAAAAAATTTTCCTCGTTACAATGTGATAAATCTCAGTTCTAAGTATTTACGTGACAATAAATACACGTATCATATAACTAATTTACTTCATTGTGTTAAATATATCTTTGGGTTTTTACGACTTGATCGATTAAAAAAAAAATTATTCAAACGACTATTTTATATTTTATGATGGACATATTGTTAATCTTCGTCCTTATATCAAAGTTTTATGTTTTTGAAGCGTATAACGCTGGCTTTTAAGACTTACTAGAAACGTGTGATTCACACGTGTCATATATGTACATACATTAATATAAAGAGATACATAAATATCTGCGTTTCGTAGAAATATAAGAAAAAAAAAAGGCACTTAACCATGGAAAAAAGAAATATAACAATTCTATGATCGCTAGCATTATGTAAAAGTAAAAATGGGGCACCAAAAATTTTTAATTTTTTTTTTATTTATGATATTAATAATATTCGGCGAATAAAACACAAAAATATAAATTTTGAAGGAGTCCATTGTTTCGAAAGTTATATATGTATAACATTAATTGTTTTAGATTCTAAAACCAATATAGTATAAAACTAATCTGTCAATCATAGGTTAAGTACGTATCTGTAAATCACAGATTAGTTTTATATATTTCGAACCAATGAATCTCTAAAATTAAAACTTGTATTTTTGCATTACCATTATTATGAAAAGATATTAAAAAAAAAATAATAAAAAAATAAAAAAATTCTTGATGTCCCAAAGTAAAATTTAACCACGTTGGCTCACTCCTAATAATTTAGCGGCATCGTCAGCAGTTCCTTGCAGTACTCGATCCATGAAATTTTTATCTCTTATTCCTAAAAGATTCGAAATTAAATCATTATCCATATTCTCGTTTGCTTCTGGATTCACATTTTGCGGAATACTAGCCAACTTTCCCGTGAGAGTAGTTAATTTCTCGTAGGGATTAAATCTCATCAGTCCACTTGGTGCAGCATCACCAGTAGCGACTGAAGCAACAGTAGGTAAAGAGATTCTATCTTGAATTAGGGAATTTCCGTTATTGGTTGCCAATAGAATTGGCTGTTGTTGCTGACTTCGTGGTGTAATTGTTGGTGGCTGTGTTGGAGAATTCTCTTCATCGCCACTTGTACCAATATACATTGTCGAATCGATAGATTCATGTTTCTTCCTATGTCGCAGCATGCTATGTTTCAAGGTAAATCTTCTACAACAAATATCGCAGGAAAAAGGCCGTTCTCCAGTATGAGTTCTCATATGACGACGAAGATCTTCTGCAGACCAGAATCGTCTTATGCAAAAGGCACAAACTACCTGGAAAGAATGAAGACCTGACTAGAAAGAAATGAAAGCATAGACTGATCTGATAGAAATATTGGCTATTTTAATTGCTACTTTAATATTCGGATATATGCTTAATCACTCATCTGTTAAAATATAATACTACTTGAAAATAGAATTGATACTAGACATAGATTTGATATATATATATATATATATATGTCAGTTATCTTAAAGTATTTTTCTATCAAATCAACTTATTTATATCTTACAAATATCATTAAAAAATTTAAAGTATCTTTACCTTCCTATTACTATAATCTGGAAAACGTCCTTTTTTCTCTTCACCATCGCTAGTTTGATGTAATGGTAATTGTTGGTGATCTTCCACTGTATCACCTATTTCCATATCTAATGCTCCTTTGGCCATTAGCATTTCATAGGATCGCTTATGATTAATTTTAATGTGTTCTAAGCAATCCTGTCGTTCTGCAAAACCACAGTCACATAAATGACATTTAAACGGTACATCACCTGGTCCCGGTGATGATCTTGGCGACGCTTTTCTCGATCTGGGAACATCATTAGCCGATGGTGAAATATTCGATGTGGATTTAGGAATTCTTGGTATTGATGAAGTCTCTGTGCCTTCAGATATACTCGAAGATTGACTATCATAATCAGTTTGTTCATTATTTTGTTTTCGACATTCCTGAGGACTATTTTGAGGTTCACTGGATGGAGTATCTGATCTTGGTTTTATTTTTCGTGCATGTTTAGTGGAACGATGCTTCTTTAAATTTCCTAAAGTAGAAAAAGTTGAACTAGGGCATTGATTGCACTTATATGGTCTTTCTGGAACATTTCTCATTGAGAATGAATTATTATTGTTAATCATTGTTTGGGAATCGGGAGAAGAAGAATTTCTGATCCGACGTATTTTATTGGGATTAGCTTTATGCTTTCTTAATAGATGGCGATCACAATTTGATTTAGTAGTGAAAAGCAAGGAACAGTGAACACATTGGTATGGTTTTTGACCCGTATGGGTTAATATATGCCTTCTGAGAGAAGAAGTCCAAGGAAATGGTCTTTCACAATATGGACAAATTACTCGATTGGGGGCCATAGAATACGCAGATTTTTTCTTCTTCTTCTTCTTCTTTTTCTTTTTTTTCTTGGATGGATTATTTATCGAATTTGAAGAATTTATAGAATCAGATTTTTCATCGCTACCGGAATTATTGCAATCGCTATTAGACGCGGCTAAACCTTCCTCATCGCTTAAGTATTGCGGCTGAAATTGTTGATATTGTTGAGAAGCGTTATCCAATAATTCTGACACGCTAGCCAAGTCAGTTACTCCATCTTCTATTTTTTCACTTTTTATTTCAATTTTTAATACTGTATTAGGACATTTGTCAATTGATGTTTTTGTTTCAGATTTCTCCATCTTAGATTCTTTTTTTTTTTCATTAATCATCTTCTCGTTTTTTTCAATCTCGTTTGTTTCTTTTGAGTCATGCATAGATTTTTTATCTTCTTCTTTCATTGAGATAGAATCTGTAATTTCTAATTGATCTCTTAATAAACTTTTTTCTTTTTGATCTTGAGATTTATCATCCTCTTTATCTTGAGGATCTTCATCTATAATTAACTCTTCCTCAGAATCATTTTCCTCTACTTTGTTCGTTTTTAACTGCTGCGCCAAAATTGCATATTTTACTTGATCTGAAATAGAATGCTTTGCGAATTCTGAACTCATTGATTGTTCATTGATTTTTGGCAAAATATTAAACGATTGGGTAACCTGAGAAGTCTGTCCAAGATTTTGCAGCAAAGTAGGATGGCTAGGAGGTCTACCTCTGGTCGAGTGCCCTCCTCTAGGTCTCTGGCTCCAATGCTGAGGATGTTGCTGCTTAATATGTCTTTCCATATTACTTCTTAAAGTAAATCTCGCCGAGCAATGCTCACAGGTAAATGGTCTTTCAGTTCTATATCGTCTTTGCTTTTGCTTAGGCATTAACACTCCATTTTTAATCACCATTTTTACAGAATTCGAAGAAGCTAAATTATCCTGTTTGTCGCGATGCGTCAAACTTTTATTAACCATCTTAGAAGATATTAATTTGGCATATTCGCTTTGTTCGGTTATCGATTGAGAATTCATATCTCTATTTTGAGAAAAGTTATTAAATCCTGTGGCACTAGGCATAGATGGTTCTACTAAACTGCCACCACTGGTTAATTGAAGTCCTCGTACTAGTTCTTTTTGCAATCTCTCTTTCATGCAATAATCTTGATTAAAAACATGAGGATTAAACATATACGGTGGCAAAATTCCAGTACCTGTTGGAAACGTACTGAAATTTCTATAAATGGCGTTGGCGTATAAAGCTTCAAGTGAGGCGGATTGCGTGCTACCTTGACCGGCTTTTAGCAACGCCTCAGTCAATAGTAACTGACTGGTGGCGTATAAATCTTTTTCGGTTTTGTTAAATTTGTCACGAGATATAAAATCGTTATTCTCTTTCTCCTTCGATTTTTTGCTAAGATCTAACACATCCATTGAAAGATCCAATGGCCCGTCCTCGCCAGAATTTTCAGCCATGTTTAAACCCTTTTTCAAATTTATTGGACTAGCTTGTACTCTTTGGTGTGAATCAGATTTGACATCATTGACTAGAGACGCGAGATCGTCTGATGACCTCGAATCCAATTCATCATCAAGTTTCGAATAATCTGGCTTAATATCCTGGCTGGATTTCCCTTCATCGATATTACGTTGACTTAACTCTATAGCTTGATTTGGCCTGGAAAATATTTCATTTTTTTCGAAATGATTCGTGTTGTGTACAGACATTGTCGAATTATGCAATTTTGCTTCTTCTATAATTCTAATTTCTGTTCGAACATCTATTGGTACTGGAGGATAATGTATTTGTGCCTGATGATGAAATTCTTCACGTTCTGTAGAATATATTAAACTTTTTCTTACCTCCTCTTTTAAAACCCTTGGTGAACTTCTCTCCACGTTTTCATTAGTAGAATCCTCATTAGGATGATAAATTAAAACGCTCTTAATATCTTCCCTGGTCAATTTTCCATGACGATTTCGCACATGACGTTCGCAGTTCGCTTTCGTCGTAAAAGCATAATTGCATAACGAGCATTCATACGGTCTGTCACCGTTGTGAGACCTCAAATGTCGTATTAAAGTCGCTTTATCAGTACTGGTATAGGGACACATATTGCAGGGATAAGGCATACCAGGTCCTACTCCCATGTGCGCCCTATTGTGACCCTTCAAAGCTCTTAAATTAGGAAATATCGCAGAACAAAGTCTGCAAGGAAATTCTCCTTTCAGTTTCATTTTTCTAAACTCTGCGGCAAACGCATCTTGAGCTTCTTCCTCGTGATATTCCGAGGAATAAGTGCCTGAAGAGCCGGAGGAACTCACGCTAGGATTGAATTTAATATTACTTTCTGGCGTGCTAGCGTCTGATCGAGGGAAATTTTGCAAAATCGGCCCAGAAGTAACTGATATGATACTCTGGATATCGGCTAAATCTTTCCCCTCTTTGGCTTCCGTTAAAGCAGCCTTATTTTGAAGGTCTAAACCGGCAAAGAAATCGTCCCTCCTCGACTGACTATCGTCGGTCGTTCTTATTTGGGAATTTGTCGTTCCACAATCAGTTTCATGAGCATCTAATGCCGATCTACAGGGAAATGCTCGTAAACATTTGGAGCATTGGAACTTGGTCACTTCCCCGGATGCCGGCCGATGCAATGATTGTTCGCATACGGCTCTGGCTATAGCTGGGAATTTATCCGACGAGAAATCAACGAATGTTAAATCGTTGAAACCAACCACCGAGTTTCTCAAATTTCTTGCAGTATTCCCTATCGAATGTTCTGCAAAATGGATCATGAAACGGTGCAGATTCAAAACACGATGGTTTTTAAATGATAAATTGCAAGTGTCGCATTTAGCGGGGAACTCGGGATGGCATCTTTCCAAATGCGCCTCTAAGAGGGCACTAGTAGCAAAATCTTGCCTCCCGCACACTGGACAATTGTATGCGTTCTGATTATCATCCGGTATCGATTTTATCTCGGTTCTCGAATTGTTTAAGAGAATCTTATGCCTTTTCTGTCCCTCGTTATCGCTCAAATAATCCGAACATTTTCTCTTCCCAGGTAACGTTGGACTCCTTTCCTCCTGGCCCTCGATAAAATCTGGTGAATTTCTCTTTGTGATTTCATTGTTATTATATTCCTCGAGATGGCGCCTCTTGGACGACTTGTCGGAATCGCTGCTACCTTCCGAATCTGTGCAACTGTGTGGCGATGTAGTCCTGTGCGCCGTTCTTAAGTGCCTGTTCATATTATCATTAATGGTAAACGTCATCTCATATTTTTTACATTTAAATGATGGTCCACGAGAATGAACTAATATGTTGTATACCTGTCTAGGGAACTCGCAGAGCTGAGAACTTTGTTGCAAATACCGCAACAGTAATCATCTTCACCGCTGCAATCTGTGCTGCGGGGTGAACTATGACCACGTAAATGATTTGTTAACTCTCTGGAGGTAGATAACACTGTTGGACAGGCAGGGCAGGGATGCGCGCTTTCTGGCAAATCAATCTATAGGAAGAAGCATAATAATGTTAGACAAATCTATTTAGAATATAATAATGATATATAATGAAGCGTGCAAGTATTATATAATAAATGTAATAAAATATAATAAAATAGAAATTTCCAATTTTTCCAAGTAGCTCTATTAAGAAATTGTTAAATACTGATGTTAGTGATGACTTTCTAATTGCAATTTAAGTCAAGTAAAAACGTACACTCGATGGTGAGGATGCAGCATCAGCTTGTGCTTCGTTTTCCTGTCCCTGATCTGAGCCACTCTTAACGGTCACTGAAATAAAAAAGAAAAAATGTAATATTTAAAATTATTTAAAAATTCATAAAACTTGAATCATAAAAATAATTTTCTACAAATTTTTGTAACTATACAATTGAAATAACGATTCATCTTCTCACCAGAGAATTAACGATAATTTTTAATCCTGTGTTAAGATACAAGTGTTAAAGTATTAATTTACTATTTTTTATTTTTAGAGATAGAAGGATAGTATTTTATAAAAAAAAAAAAAAATTGTCATCGCATTTGAAAAGGCGATAAAAAATACCAGCAAGATACATTGCTAGTCGACCGGTCGATTTCACTTCGATCGATAATGACTTATTGTTTGTAAATTTTTTTAACTATAGCGACCGGTACCATGCGATACAATCGTGTCACAGAAATCTACACGGACCCGTGGCCTCTTCCGGAAGCTGATAGACGACCGCAAAAAAAAAAACGCCTCAAAGCTGGAACAATGACACTTATCAGTTACTCGCGAACCGCAATCGTCCTTATTTTTCGATCCTGGAAGCTACTATTGCTGGAGCATACTTCCGAGAACGATATACTATTACGAAAACAGGTTGATAAATATTATTTTGTATCAACGATGAATAATATTATTTTGCGCCCACTATAAGTATATTAATTGAAATTAAGATTAAAATTTTACGAAATTTTCTTTTAAATGTTTGTATGCTATTAGATTATCAATATTTTTATGATGATTTATTTATGGAATAATTGATCTATCATAAATTTATTAAATTGTTTTTTATAAATTATAAAGGATAATTTAATAATTATAATCATGGAAATTATTATATAATATTTTCTTTGAATTCTGTATTGTTTTAAGATAATTTGTATACTGAATCGTACAAATAATTTATTCCATGAGATTAAAAGATAATTTAATTATCCTCTGAAAATTTTTATCTTCTTTTAAATTTTCCTTAATAATTTTTAATCTTTAGATTTAATCTTACAGATTTTATTTCTTTAAAACTCCATTTCAAGTTATCAACCACACACGTATCACGTATTAATCCTATCTTTGGTAATCAGAAAGAATGATCTAAAGGCTCTCAATAAATCATAAACAAAAACCAGCAATAAGCAATCATAATTATAGAAAACTACGCTGAAAGAAATATCTACGTATTTATAAGTATTGAAAATTTGACAATTGCATCGCTGTTATATAAAAATGACAATTACTTTCATAACGATATTTCTATATAACACATATCGGATGAAATATGATGAAACACCGCATTCAAGAGATTTGAAAAAAATCTTGGTAGCGTAAACGTACGTGATCTTGTGCATTGTTCATCTTTATCTCATCGGTGAAGCGTTTTTTTCATCCGACAAGAAACGAGATTAAACGGTATTGACATTGCCGATTCGAGTTGTAACAGGAAGCAGACACAACATCTCGCTTCGTTATCGACGATCCAACGGTCAGTTGACCTTAAGATCGTCGTCGAGAGGAAGAGTTTTATCCGTCTTCGTGACCGTGTCCTTTCTTATGTGGATCGACAAGATATTGTGCAATTGTTTCTACAGACGGTAGAGTGAAAAACTCGAGGTAAGAAAAAAAATCACGGGCAAATCATGATTAACAAGCTTGAGCAATCTGGAAAAAGAATTAAGAAGATAAATTCCTGGCATAAGATAAAACTCTTTGAAAGCGATTGATTAGAAAATTCTCTATCTATATAAAAAAAAAAAAAAAAAAAAAAAAAAAAAACACAATGACTCGAGTTTTAACCTAACCTCACATTTACCGAAAAACTGGAATTGGATTAAATTCTTAAATTGGATAAGAACGAATCGTTGAAAACGAACGAATGAGAAACTCTAATTTCACAGAAATGAAAGGCAAAAGATAATAGATAAACGATATTGGATAGGATAAAAATTAAAACGGAAAGACGGAGCTCTTTGAAGCTTGAAAACGCGAGAGAGGAACGCAAACAGGTGCGATTAAAGCCGGTCTTATTCTCTGCCTACCAGGTGACTCGATTCATGCGCATAAATCACGCGGACGAAACGGGTTTTCGGCCGTTTAACTTGAACTTAACTTGCGGTTTGCGTCCGCGTTTAGCAGCCCGATTCACGCTTAAGCGCGCGAATAAATTCGACACGAATGATGTACGTCCGCGACCGCACCGACCTCCTCGGCTCGTTTTTCGCTTCGTGACACTAAAGGTGTCACGTGTCCCTTTTTATATCGCCGGAGAAGTTTGATGAAATATAGCGTGGAAGTGGTGGAAGTGGCGAAGCGAAAAAGGTCGATGGCCGTTCATTTTATCGATCACTGGTTTCGATCAATGATTTTTTACTTCGATCCTTTATGATTTTAAATTTGAAACGCGTATATATATATGGATTTTGGTTGTTTCGATCTTCTGAATTCGATTAGTTTAAGGATAAAAGGGGTTGTTGGTTCTGTAGATTATCTCTGGAATTGATTTTTGTAACAATTTTTTAAAATTAAATTTCAAATTTGTAAATATAGTTTTAAATTGTTTAAATTTATAAATGAAAGAATGGAATAATTTGAATAGTTTAAAATAGATATTTAAATGTGTTGAATTTGAATATTTGAGTAATTAAATGGGAATTTATTTGAACTTTAATATAACCTAGACATCAGAGTTTTACTTATTTGAATTTCTATTTAAATATTTGAATATCATTTTTAGATTTGAATATCAATATTGATATTTGAATTTGAGTTAGATATTTGAAATATCTTAAGTTCAAGTTGATAATATTTAATAAAAACTTGAATTAGATATTAATACATATATTAATGAGATTTTGAGGAGTTGTAATGTGAACGTGATTTTTAATTTTTAACACTAACGTTTCAGCTATAGACTTTGGAAAGAGAATTTATTAATTGTATTTGAAATTGTAATTCACCTAATAAAAACAAATCTTAGATCTTTTTTTCTGAAAAAACCGTTTAAAAACAAATAAATAGATTCTTCTAGTTCAAGATTATTATCTATCGACGCCTGGTGCAAATTTCTTCACAGAGAAATTTCGCAAAAATTCTCTTCGCTTGATAATTTCGTAGAATAATAAATAAACATTTATCTAAGATAGATAAAAAGATTCGTCGTGTTATGTAAAGATAAACACGACGAAAGTCTTATCTCAATTTCGAGAAATTTTTGAAATATCACAATATAGTGCGTTTCAATTTAATCGATATCTCTTATCCAGAATTCGAAAATTATAATTAATCCAAATACTTTTGAAATCTACTTACGTACAAATTTTCAATTCAAAACTGAAAGTAATCAGAATAATTAAATTCGATTTAAATTAAACTGACCGGCAGATCGATACCATGTTCAATACTATCTTTAATTCCAATGTTTGAAGTTAGAAACATTTGGAAAATTTATTTATCAATCAAGATTGAGAATTTGATAGAATACGAACATCGTGTATGGAATGGACAGAAACCTGTGGTGAAATTCAGGAGTGGATTCCTCCGTCGTGACATGTGGAAATCCAGCTGCTTTCCATTTCTAACCATCACCGATCGTGGTGGACACCAATGGTTACGGGGCTCCGTGAACCAAGAAAACCGATTTCTATTTTTTTCTTTTCTTTTTTCTTTCTCTCAACTTCCACGTATCGATCGAAACAACGCAACACATTCTACGACCCATCGTCAAATATATATTTTAATCCTTCTAGAAATTTTCTTCTTTATTTACTTTTTCTTTTTTTTAAAGGACGATTTAATAAGATGATGAATAATTATTTTTTATTCGTGTATTTTTTTTCTTACTTTCTTAAAGAGATTCGCGATAATTGAAATTAATTCGAATCGATCGAAATAAATTCTTGCTCGCGATAGAAGAAAGAAGATCGGGATACATTGGAATCATAAACGTTTTCCGATTTCGAACGGAGAAGATCGATATCGTTTCTTCTTTAGTCGCCGCGCTTCGATGAATGACAATATTTTTTCGATTACGTTCTCATTGTTGATTCAGCAGAGTTCAGAGAAACGTCCACCGTGGTTAGAAACGATGACAACGCTTCTACAATTATGTCGTACAGGAATTCTGCAAAGTTTCTTCGACTCGAGATTCGATTATTCTCAACGATTCAACGAAACAATTCTTCCTTTCCTCGAATAGTTTTCCATGAAAATTATATTGTTTCACAGTTTCCTTTAATCTTCGTCCTTTTCTTTTTTTGTATCCTTTTATATCCGTTTTTTAACGGATTCAATTTAATACAATTTTATTTTCATCACGGTTTTCGATTAATAAGAATTTGTTTTTATTGGTTTTAATCATTCTACGCGGAAGAAGTTGAGCACGCAGATTGAAAAATGCTGACTGATTGAGAAACGGTGTTATTGCATCGATCACTGGACGCGACCGGTTTAACAAAATATTTAAATACATTCGATTGAAAATTTTGATCGGTAATTGATTCTCAGTCACGAAAACTGCCTTATCTTCGATAATGCAACCTGAATCCAAACCGGAAAATATTTGGAATATTTTCAAATAAAAATATTTTTATACACAATTCCATTAATATAGATTGAATCGAGTTGAAACAAAACCGCATATGTCAAATTTCGACATATCATTGAGAATGAAAAAATTCTAAATTTTAAATTTGGCAATTCGGGCAGTGACAAAGAAAAATTTCTATAAGAAATTCTGAAAAATGAAAAAAATATAATAACGTTCCATCTTAAAAATTTCTTCTTTCATTTTTTAAATCATCAATCCCAATAAACGCAATCGATCGATTTCCAGCGATTTTCAGAGAGTAAAAAAAAATAAAAAAAAGAAGGATCTTTCGATCGAGACATCGCGGAGGGCCAAATGCCACGCCCTGTATCCGCAATGCACCCCCTGCGAGAGTTGGTGTCGCAGGGAGCCGTGGAAAAGGGAGCAGTGTCAGTCCATCGAGGGCGGACATGCGCACTTCCGCCAACCGGAGCCTCCTACGAA